TGCTACTACTACTACTACTACGTACTAGTACTACTACTACTACTACTACTACTACTACTAATACCTACTACTACGACGACGACGACTACGACGACTACGACTACGACGACGACGACGCCTACTACGACGACGACTACTACTACTACGACGACTACGACTACGAGTACTACTACGACTATGTGGTTTGTTGCTACTTTGTTGTAGTAAGAAATATATTGTTCTGTGTTTTGCTGTTGTGGCTCATCGACTCCTTGTCTACCCGTGACGCTTGTGACGACGACGACGACGACGACGACCTACTACTGCTACTGCTACTGCTACTGCTACTACTACTACTACTACTACTACTGCTACTACTACTACTACTACTAATCATAATAACAATAATAGTACTACTGCTACTACTACGACGACGACTCCTACTACTACTGCTGCTACTTCCACTGCTCGTGCTACTGCTCCGGCTACTGCTCCTACCGTTGCTCCTACCACTGCTCCTTCTACCACTACTACTCCTGCTGCTGCTGCAATGGGGTCGATGACTGCCACTGCATTACAACCATCATAGCAACCCCAGGTGAGTTTGGGGCTCTGAGCCAGCCGCACTCAGCCATCCAGAGCGATATCCAGGCGCGCACAGACACAGACACACACACACACACAAACACGCAAACGCAGAAACACACGAGCACACACACACAGAGAGACAGAGACACACACTTACACACACCCACACGCATGAGGCTCGATCCTTCCGGCACATGATCAATGTAGGCTCCGGTGCATTGTGTAGCACGAGTCTAGCAGGCCCAGCAGTGTGTTCTGCACTTCAGTTGTTGCACAGAAGCAGATTGAAAGCAAGCAATACCGAGTGGCTCAGTGGTTGGCCGAGCCCTTCCTTGAAGTGCCTTTCCATCGCTGATCTGGATGCCATGCACTTCAATGTGCCAACACCCTAGAACATGCACATCTGCAGTGAAGTCCATCGAGATGCCCAGTGACCCACTATGGGCAACGGGGCAGCCAGTTGCCCCGCAGTCCAAAAACAAACCACAAGTCCCCGCCGTTACCACCACTGCACAGCATCCCGTGCGATGTCTTGTCCAGGACGTGAATGCAAGCAATTGCGTTTCCTTTTCATGCGATTTTTCCCCGACAAATGTCTGCAGGACGGCATGCTTCATTTCGACATTAAGTGGCGCCGATGTTGCCGTTAAATAGGTCGCGTGTTTATTCGTTTGCTGGCTGCTTCGGGGCTGGTTTTTTGCTTATCCGAAGCCCCTCAAGCCGACATACTGAATTCTTGACGTGTCCGAGATATATCCTGAACTCGAAGCCCCATTCCAGCCTAAGCACCCAAAGCCTCAAACACCCAAATCCTAAACCTCTCACTTCAGCATCTGGATTCTATGGAGCCTTGCCTGCCTTGGAGTCGAAACCCCTAAGCCCTTATATGAGCGCCTGATCCGAAATCCTAAGTTTCGGCAGGCCATGGCTGAGCTGGCCAACTCCTCCGATCCTTTTGTCGGTGCGACCATATTCCAGCCACCTGGCAAGCCAAAGAAATCATCATCTGAGCTGAGACTCTTGTGCAGGGTTCGGGGTACTTGTGCTTAATTGTGGGTGCAGAGGTGCCCTTCATTCCAAAGTCGGGACGGTGGCAGAAGCAGAGAGTGCTGGCATGTCGGACACTGCCTCATCCCGTGCCACTGGGTTTCTGGCTTTACCGAGCTGCCAACATCCAACCCTTCGGATTGCCAACCCCAAGCCCCCAAACCTCACAGCTGAGCTTCACAAACTCACCTGTCTAGACTTGAGCATGAAAACGCATATCCCTCCTAGCTTTGTGAATCCTGGCTATGGCAAGCATCAGCATCGGAGCATCAGTGAAGTCGTCTGAGCTTGCCATAGTTTCCCTTACAAGCGCTGCCTCGAGCCATGGGGCGATTCACAGCTGCTCTGGATCTTCTTGGCCGTGCACCCTCCAGCTACTCGGGCAATTAATGCAAGCGTAGTCGGTTTCGTTACTACGCCTTGCAGAAGCATGGTCTATGTGTTTGTGCTCATTTTAGAGTTCAGAGTAAAGGCTCAGGGACTGCTGCTCACAGAAGGGTTTGTAAACGCATCGACACAGAATCATGTGCGGACGGTGACCTAAAGAGACTCGCAAGAAGGATTTTTCCTGGGATGAAGAAGGACCTCCGCGGATTCTAAAAGTGATACGAATTCCAACAGTTACACTTCTGGGATCGGATCGGCGGCGGCTCGGGACAAGAATAATTAAGGTCCGAAGGGTCCAAGAGCTGGTTCAAAGATGACGGACCCTAAGCAAACCCTCAACAGAAGTTCATTGAGTGCAGGCTTTCTGTCGACCGCAGATAGCAATGAGGGGCAGGACTGGGAGGAGCTGGAAGCCGGAGACAACAGGCCGGAGTTACTGTGATATTGTTTTGTGGCTAGTTCTCTCGAAAGTAGCTGTAGCTAAAGTTGCGATGCTGGTGGTGGTGGTGGTGGAGGTGGAGGTGGATGTGGCGGTGGTGGTGGCGGTGGTGGTGCTGGTGGTGGTGGCGGTGCTGGCGGTGCTGCTGGTGCTGCTGGTGCTGCTGGTGCTGCTGGTGGTTCTGCTGGTGCTGCTGGTGCTGCTGGTGCCGCTGGTGCCGCTGGTGCTGGTGCTGGTGCTGGTGGCGCTGGTGGCGGTGGCGGCGGCGGCGGTGGTGGTGGCGGGGGCGGTGGCGGTGGCGGTGGCGGTGGCGGTGGCGGTGGCGGTGGGGGTGGTGGCGGTGGCCGGTGGCCGGTGGCCGGTGGCGGTGGCGGCGGCGGCGGCGGTGGTGGTGGTGGTTGTCGTGGTCGTGGTCGTGCTAGTGGTAGTGGTAGTGGTAGTAGTAGCCGTGTAGCACAAGCGGTAATTAGCACTAATACGACGACTACCATTGTTAAGCTACTGTTGTGTGGTATTGTTGTCGGTTCACGGGCTTTTTAACCCATCAGTATAGACGTCCTTGCAGACCCGATGCCGGGAGTTACGACTACTGGCAGAAGCGTGCTGCCACATACGACCAGGACTGTCCCTGATGGAGTGTGCATGAAGTAGACGGGCGCACTGAGCCCGGAGCCCTGAACCCGGCTTCAAGCCGACACCCCAAGCCGCCTCGAAATTGTGTAGGACATCTTTCGATCCAGCGACGAGGACCATGAGGCCTACTCACATCGCTTGCGTTGGTGCCCAAGCGTATTTTCCGCGTGCTCGGCTGTAGGCGTGTGCTGATCCTGTTCTTTGTAATATCCTTGTGCCGCAAATGGGACTGAGCTTAGAAGCATCACACGCCAACTCCTCACCAGGGCATCATTCACGGCGAGATTGATGCAGCCGCGCGGCGCGCAGAGAAAGCGCGTGAGCTGACAAAAGGCAGGGAGTTTGTGTTGTAGTTGTGCCATCGACCATCATATAACCGTGTATGAAATGATATAAGATGAGCGTCAGACTTGTAGTGTTCACAGACCTTAGTAAGAGCAGCTGGGCTGTGCCCGCGCGGCCCTTAACTGGCCACCTGCCCTTTTTGCCTGTCTGTCACCCTACAATGTCTTACACTGGCCTGCTCGTTGCGCTTGGTGCAACAGATGTGCAAATGGACATGCCGCTGTTGTGACCGACCGTGACACTTATTCCTGCAGGGGACCTCTTTGTAATTGTAGCCGAAAAGAGACAGAGACGGGCGTTTGTGCGATCATAGTTTTTCAGTTGAATTGGCACCGGAGTTTTGCTTAGATCAGCGGCCCTTTGGCCACGCTGGAGCCGACGATGGTGCCGGATGGCCCACCGAGGTGGACTGCTACCGGACGTTGGACGCAGATTGGGGCGTACTACCGACGGCTGCTTCGCCGGCATCACGCACCTCTGCCGGCGACGACGCCGAGCACGAGGAGGATTCCGAGGAGCTCCCGCAAGACCGAAGAGGAGGACGAGAGCCGCGAGGGCAAGTTCGCGATCCTCCTAAAGGAGCTGGGCAACGATCTCCTGGAGCGCTCGACGGAGGGCATATGGCTTATGCCTGTATCGGGCCTAGCCGTCATCAGATGGTGCTAACACTCGCAACAGGCTGGGCTACCAAGAAGTTCGGCAAGCGTTGGTTTCGATGTTTGAGGACCGTGGTGGCAAGACGGCGAGGAAGTTCGTCCCCGGCAAAATCCCGACCACACCGAGATGGACATGGACCATGGCGACAGCGGCGCCTACCCCGGACGCCGCCAGCCGGCCCAATGGAGCTACTACGGCAAAGCGGACCCGAGCTCGACGACGAGGTGTTTGCATCTTTGAAGGACGATCAGCAGGAGCACGACCGGAACCTGATGGAAGCAAGCAGGGCAGTCGGGCAGTCAGTACAGCAGTGCCAGCCGAAGCCGCCCAGGTTTACTGTACCAGTGCTTGTGGGCATGAGGGAGCTCAAGCAGATGAACGCTTTCCGATGGATGTTGTGAAGCATGCTCTTCTTGAACCGGTTCCCCAAGCACGGCCTCCAGATCGACAGCCATCAGGGCAGCACCCACAAAGGAGATCAAGTCCCGAGAGCCCCCGCTGGCAGCCAACCTCAACAAGGACCACGGGGACCCCAACGAGCGCAACTACGACGACAACGAGAACCCCGAAGACAACCTCAACCAAAATGGTCAGTGCGACAAGCAGCTCGCAGACATGCGTCGTTTTCCTTGCCGTGTGCGAAGCATATTTGTTACATGCTAGAGGTGCGTGCAGCCTGATGAGCATGCGGAAGCACAGAGTGAGCAAGCCTTGGCGAGTTCTTGTGATTTTGAGTTGGACGGCATGCTGTCGCAGTCCAGCTTAGACCCGCTATTTGTTGACGGGTTCGCAGAACATGGGCGACTCCTGCGCCACAAGTCGCTGCAGCACTTCCCCACGACCAGGAATGCAGTCTTGGGTTCCGCACATGCCACGGTGTGCTGGTCTGGGGCTGGACCGGCCCAAGCGTGACAAAGTCCGGCTAGTAGTCATCAGCTGTTGCTCTCCGGTTCAGTCGGGCAAAGTCGGGATGCTTATCTTCGAGAGTGCTGGTCGGGGTACCGGCTTCCAGGTCAGGATCCACCTCATCGGGATCAGCCGGTCTCGCACCTGATCTTGCGTGAGGCCCGCAGAGGCCGCCTTGATTGCCATCGAGCTCAAAGCCCCCCGAAATCTCCGTTCGGGCCTTGTCCTTGTGGCTCAGGCTTCGGTAGTTGACCGCCTTGGCCGCAGTGTTCGAGGCCAGCTTTGCCCTGGAGTAGGTCGCGCAGCCGCCACGAACAAGTTGGGGTCGTCGATGGCGAACTCCATCACCATTGCTTCCTCCTTCCGGTCGCAGGTGCGACGCACCTAGTCGGTTTGTCAGCTTCTGCCGTGAACAAGGCAACCCATCTGCAGGAGGCCAACGGTGGCGTTCACTTGGCAGACGCCGGGAACAACAACCGCCCGGATGTTGGCTCAACTGGGGGCTACCTCACCGGCTTTGTGGCGCCGGAGAGTCTCGGCTGGCAACGAGGCAAAGCACTGGACCATTGCCGCTGCCTCTTTGTCCTGTTGGGGTTTTTCGAAAACGATACTGCTTCCATTCACTGAAAAACTCCTCGTTGAACGTGACGATCCACGACTTGCGGCTGTGAGAAAGCGCTGCTGCTCGGAAGGTTTCGTGAGTTACCTTTGTCAGGCTAACTATTGGCCAGGTTCATGTCACTCGCCACCCAGGTCAAGTAACACTTGCCATCGTCCGGAGCCCTTTCTGCACCGCGGTAGCCTCGATGCCCGTCCTGGCGTTGTTCATGCCCAGCACGGGCGAGTCGGACAACGTAATGGCATCATATAGGCATATATAGGCCTCGTGAGTCCGTGATGAGGCGGGACTCCATAGAGGATTCCAGGCTGCTGCGTTCGACCGCATCAGCTCTTTGCCATTCAGCAGGGCCCAAAACAACCGACACTTCCAGCCCTTGTCCTCGGCCTCGAAGATCGCCTGGGCTCGGTTCCATTCGTGCCCTTCGCTTGCCTTGTCTTTCCAGTTTCCACGACCGCCAGTCCAGCAGGCTGAGGCTGGATGATTTTGCGGCAAACCTCGCAGGTACTGTATGCGCACTCCCGTCGATCGCTGAAACAGCAACGCTCGAAGGGATGTGTTGCTGGTGCAACAGATGTGCAAATCGACATGTCGATGTTGTGACCGACCGTGATAAGTACTTATGCTCGCAGGGGGCGGGCCCTTTTGTAACCGAAAAGAGGCGGATTACCCAAAGCTTGCCTGATAATGATTTCTCCCCGGCCATACTGTGAGATAGGCGTGCTTTTAGTGCTACATGTGGTCAGAAAACCCTACAAAACTTACGTATGCCCCGGCGGAAGGAGACGATGGCTCACATGCAGTTTCCAAGCTCGTGGCCGTGGATGCCGGGTGTGGACCTGGTAACTCGGCCTCTTGGGGGTTTGAAGGATAATGGTTTAAGGTTTACGGGGTTGAGGTTTAGTTTAGGGCCAGCTTAAGGTTAATTAGGATCGGTCATACTGTTGTGAGACTGAAGGCAGCAAAGCTTGTCCGCAAGGCCTACCCCATCGCTCATTTGTGCTGGCCAAGTCTGTGAGAAAAGCGCAACAAGACATCACGACTTTCTCTTCACATGAAGTGTTTCGGGCTAAGTTTCGGCGAGGCGTGACTGTTCGTGAAGTTTTCAAAGTTCATCCGTATGTGACGGGCTGTTGTAGTATGTGATCATCATGAAGCATGATCAGGGCTTTTCGGTGTTTGCATTGAGGTCAGAAAAAGGTTGTTATTCCATCGTCGTGGCAAATTATCAGCATGAGCAGGGATAGGGATCCTTGCTCAAAACCTGTTTAGAAGTTGTACATATCAGCCAAGGTCTTTGGCTGGATGCACTGACCAAGCGCTTTGGTCGTGTAGTGGGCGTGGATCAGTCGCCCAACCTTCTTGAGAAGGCGGCAGACAGATGAGGGTTGTCATTCACGCAGGTTCCCAACCAGCCGACTCCCCAAGTCGGATGCGAAACCGAGTTTCCCACCGAGCGGCATCCAGTGTAGCAGCTCCATGGAAAAGAGCATTCTTGACGACTTTGATTCAGCATGCCAGGTTCAGAGCATCTCTATAGGGACCGATTGGCAGAAGATGAGTTGTGGTGTTTGCGCGGGAGCTGCTCAGGTTCAGAAGAATCAGTACTATCCCGAATGCACACAGCTGCAGCTCCACAAGCCAGGGTGCCCGCAACACAGCTGACATGATGACCTCAGGAACGACCTAGAAGCAAGAAAGCCGGACTCTACAATTAGAGCAAGGTGCAAAAGCCAACATACCGTATGCCCTGTGCATGTGGTATCCAGCACAAAATTACCCTACCCTATATTCCTAACCCTTGAATGTACAAAGCGCCAGGCCAAGGTGGACCATGAGCACCTCCTGCAGAGCAAGCACTCCAAGGTGGCCCAAAACTGGTTTGCTGATACTGAGGCCTTAAGGACACGCGGTCTGGACACGCCAGGTTTTCGGGCTCATTGACCACCGCCAAATAGTGTAGCTGTGATGTCGCCCACGACCAAACCTCTTACAAAGACCGACAGGAACGCAAACACCAGTCAAATGATCAAATGCGGTGAATGCTTGCAAAACGGACACACCTTGAAGTCTAACTTGTTTGAAGCGGGTGGGAAGAAACTTGTTTGAAGGGCGCAAATCGAGAAGTTGATAAAGGCAAAACTCTCCTTTCGTAAACAACTTTGCGAAACTGCGAGGTCGAACTCCAAACGGCCGCGGACCTCGGCCAGCCCTGCAAGAGTGAGTATGCCGCTGATGGTCAGGAGCGCAAGGCATTGCGGGAGGTGGATATGTAAGTATGAGTGGTACTTTATCCAGGGGATCACAGGAGGTTCAAAAGGTTTCTGCGAGGATCTCAGTACCTTCTTCAGGGGATTACAGGAGGTCGAGAAGGTTTCTGCGAGGATCCAATGAGGGTTCAGACAGGTGTGTTGGAAATTAGGGTAGTGCAGTACCTGCTGCAATTTAGGATTCTTGTACGAAAGAGGATGCTGCTGCTACTCGGGGTTTAGAGTAGGATTGCCTGAAACACCCATGCAGTTTGCCAGGAATGCTTGCTTTCTAGCACTTGAAAGTTTCCCTGTTCAGGTACCGCATCTTGTAATTATGCGAGGATTTCAGACTTCAAGAACTATGTCCAACTATGTATTCGCCTCGCTTGGACCGCTTTTTCGCTCACTCGCCCTTCTATCGGCATCGACATGTCACGACATGTCTAACAGCTTCGAAGTCAGACAGGGCATGACCAGGCTCAGGGGGCTCGAAGTCTCCATCACCATGTCATTGGCATCGTGAAGAGCAACACTGCGTCGTTGAAGGGGCAGTGATGCTATAGCAATTGGTGACTGCTGAATTCGGAGCTTTTAGGTGCTTGGGGTACAACTGTACAACGACAAGACGAGCAGATGGAAATGCCTTTGTCCGAGGCTCGAGCGTTCCCTTTATACAGGCTCATAGGTTGGCCCGCCACCCTTGTTCCACAAGAGTGATGTTTTAAGCATGAGATGCTGGACTTGAGGGCGCAAAGAGCAGCATTCACCTCAGGCTCGAAAGCAGTAAGCACTGCGACATTGACAGAAGCTTTGATCAGCAGGTTCAGCTCTTCTCAGTTGTGAGAACCCAGAGTTCGAGAACTGCTGGACTCTCGCTATCGGTGCTACAGCAGAAGTTTCAGTGGAGTTGATGCAACTAGTGCCGAGTGATCACCACCTCCGGCTTCATCCGCATCATCATCATCACCAGTCCCGTTATCATCAGAGAACCGTCACTAGCGCCAAAACCATGCTCATCAACATCGGCATGCGGCTGACCAAACCAAACCACAAACCCGCTTCAAGTCCCCCCGAGCCTCGTGACGGTGGTGCCACTACCGCTTCTGCTACCACAAAAGTGGCAGCTACCACTGTGCTGCTGCCGCTGCCACAACAACTTCGACTACGACTACTACGACTACGACTACGACTACGACTACTACTACTACTACCACGACTAC